CCAGCAGTCATGTGAATCCGATGTTTTCTCAGGCTGACTGTGCAGTTGAAGACCGACGTAGCCAGAGTCTGAAGTTAAATATTTTAATATTTCTCCTTGTTGTTGTACTTGTATTTGTACTTTTTTTAGTTGTACTGGTACTTGTTAGGATGTGAGAACTGTGTGATATCTTTTAGAATATCTCTGTCATTATCGTATGTTTCTGCAATATATATTTCTTTTCTACGAATAAGCTATTCTAAATAAGCTGTCACAAACAGTTTTATCACACAGGGGCAGTAATGTCATTTAACCACCAATAAGCTAGTCTGAATAAGCTGGCCCAAACAGCCCAAACAGTTATTCTGATAATCTATAGATTATCAGAATAATCTGTTTATTAGTAGATTATAAATAATCCACAGCTGCGCCAAACAGACCCTAAGACACGAAATAATCACTGTCAAGACTCTTTCGACAAACATTAGTTTGTTACCATCTGTGGGAAAAAAAAATCTCAACACTAATAGACTTGCAAAACTTGTCTAATGGCCACTCGATGCATTACTAGCAACAAAAGAGCATCCTGCACAAACATTCAGCATTCCAAGGGACAGTCACAGAGCCAAGCATGTTAAGCCTTTGCCGCTTCCCACCATGAAAGGCATTATCCTAATGGAAAAGGCACCTAAGATTCCTCTCTAGAAGATCAAGTGCACAAAATGAAAGAGTCACACAATGAGATCCCCCCACTCTTACAAGAGGTTCGATGGACGATGCCTACACAACCAGTTCAATAGCCAACGACAAATTACCTGCTTGAGCACACTCATACTGAGCTACCTTTTCGATTCCAACCTCCTTGATGTTGCGAGTCCCACTCATCTGTCGTGCACAGCTAAACCGATCAATAACCCTCTAGTACTTGTAAAAAAACTTGACCCAACTGCATCTTATTGCCGCTTCTAAAAACTTGATCGGTGATGAGCTACGATGCCAAGTTCAAGAAGTGCTCCCTTTGAGAAAAGGGATCTCTTCCCAGGTAATCACAACTTTCAAGTGTCCTTGCCCTTGGCTGAGGCAATCCTCTATTACCCCATCCCAGCAAGTTTCAAGCTCCCAAACATTAATTCCTATGAAGAGGTAGCTGACCCCAACGAGCACGTTGACCACTATCAAATCATCATGCACATTCAGCTTGCTTCTGATGTGCTTCTCTATCAAGCATTACCTGCTACTTTCAAGTGTCAAACTTGCACCTGGTTCTACTCTTTCTTGGGAGGCACTATAAACACCTTCAACAAGTTTATCAAGTTACTTATGGAGCCCTTCATAGCAAACTAAATGATCATCAAGTTCCATCTCTCAAGAACTCATCAAAATGAGGGAGAGTCACACAAGGACAGCTTTCACAAATTCTTCCTCAGAGTTGGAATTATTATGATGAATCTTCCTTAGAGGGTTTTGTCTCGAAATTTTCTAATTCTTGCTGATGTAGTAGGCGGTCCGCTCTTACATTGACTTTGTTCATTGTGTTAAAGATCAAATTACTGCAGATGAGACCATCGGTACACACAAAAAGCAATTTGAGTGATTTGGAGACAAGCATAAGAATAACCTCATGGATATTGATCAAACCTTACAACGAAAGAAGTTCAAATCACAAGGGAATCCTAATTTCTCTCATCGACCCATGAACCAACAACATGAGCCCTAATAAAAAAAGGAGTATACACTACTTAACACGTCATGTATTAACATTCTGATGGCCATTAAAGGTCGGTAAGTTGCCAATGCTATAAAAAAAATCTAGGTAGAGACCAATCTCAATATTGTTATTTCCACTGTGCAAAAGGTCATTTAAAAGAAAGTTGTTTTCACTTAAAGGAAGAAATTAAACGTCTGATATGTTAAGATCACCTAAGCTACTACTTACGAGAGCAAGGTGAGAAAAATCAAAATAAAATGGTCAGAATTATTAAATGAAAAGTACAATTACAATTTATCTTATTAATAGACTTTTTGCTTTCATCGTAACATATGAATTTCTCATTTTATTTGAAGAATTTTCCTAATGCTGTAACGAATTGTTATTCAATGAATTTTCTCTATTGTTAATGAGGCTTTTTTAATTCTCTCGTAAAATATTTTGTGTAGAAAGACCTTTTGAGAACAAGCGACAGACAATGTCTCCATCTATACCCATAGAAGTCATGACCTTAAGTCGAGTTTTGAGCTGGAGATGGATATATTTCTCACTGTAAAGACCCCTTGAGGGCAATTGACAGGCAATGCCTCCATCCATATACTTAAAAGATGAGCCCAAGAGGTAAGACTCGATGGAAAGCTTGTAGTTGATGCATTCCTCACTAGTAAGGCTCTTAAGGAAAAGTGGAGGACAAGATCTCTATCCATACCACTCAAGGATGAGCTCGGGAGGAAAGTCTTGATGAGAATCTAATAGTAGATACGTTCCTCAAAAGAAAAACCCTTTGAGGGCAAGTGGCAAACAAAACCTAACTGATACTCTAATAGACGAACTCTGGAGGCAAGACTTGATGAGAAGCTAATAGTAAACTCGGTAGAGAGACCGTAAGCTCGCTAGAATCCTTCTTCTCCAATGTTAGGATGAAGCTCTCCTAGCTATGCTTCCCGGAAAGTTCACTGGACATGGAAGAAGTTGTCGGAAAATTAGAAGAAAGGTTAAGAATAAGAAGAAGTTGGAAGATAACCAACTCCCTTAACTTCTCCTTGAGGAAGATGAAGGGTCTTCTTCCTTTTTCCTTGCTCCAAGCTCTAAACTCCAGAAAACTCTAAGCTCCTTGAGGAAAAAGATGGAGTTCTCCCTCTGGAACTCTCTAGCTCTCAGCAACAGCCCAAGTCTGAAAAATGAGTGAAGATGGGGGAAAATGAGACTATCCAAAACATAAGACCAGCTCACTAAAATACCCCAACCTTTTTTTTATCAAAAATGACATTGTGATGCCTTCTAGAAGCCCCTAAAGGACAAATCATGAGCCTCTTTTTCATGTATAAGGAAAATCATCACATAACCTAAGGAGATCCACTTTTTTGGCTCCCTAAAAATGAGAAAAATAATTTATGGAACTAGACTGTCGCCTAGGTGCGACGATCTCGGCGCTAGAAGGCTGGTCCCTACTTTCCCGGGGCTCGGGAAATGGCTATTTTGAGATATTTTTGGGCGTTTAAGCGCAAGTAAGCTGTTGCCTACTTTCTCATGGCTATATTTTGAGGTTGTTTTGGGGGCCTTAACGCCCGGGGCTGGCGCCTAGATGTTTGTTTGGCATGAAAACCCTGATTTTCATGTTGGTCATCTTCTTCGATTCGTAAGCTATGAGGGACTAAGTAGGGTTGAAATATCTTCATTTAGCTCCAAAAATTTGTATTTTTAAACGACCATTTACCAGGAGATTCTTCGTTGATAGTCGCTTCGAACCACAGAGTATGTAAGGTGTTCCAAACTCTAATTTTTTTGTAGTGCGCGTAGGAGGGCTCCGCGACTTCCCTTGACCACTGAAGGCTCTGAAAGGGTGCAAAGTGATCTCAGATCACCAAAATTAACATCGAACTTGTCCCAGGTCCTGGATGAATTTGCCTAATAGTGGACTCTCCCGGTTAATATTAAATCTTTGCGAACCCTAGCTTTGTGCCCCAAACACGTGCCAGAAAGTCTCAAATGAGTGTCTTGAGTTGTGGGACGTTACAAATGAGCAACAGACCATCCTGAGTCGTTCAGGTGGACATCCTACACACGTGACATCAAAAATTAATGCCAACAAAGTTTTCTATACATGAAAAAATGATTTCATTTAAAAAGAAATAAAATATTAATATTTTTTATATAATATTAAGGCTATAAACAAGTAGAGTTTGAGCGAGCTCAAGCTAGGCTCATGTTCAGCTTGTTCGAAATCGGCTCGTGTTCGAAATTGGCTCGTGAACAGTGAGTTCACATTCGATTCGATTTAAATATCCTTGTTCGTGTTCAGCTCGAAATTGACTCATTAAAATTAATTGAAAAAAAAAAGTGAAATGTGTTGAATTCGAACCTGTACCAAATTTGTGCAATAAAAGATGCAGAATCATATGACCACACGAGTTGTAATGATTTAAATTCTGATATAAATATATATAATATATTATTATATAAATTTATATACAACATATTATTATATAAATAATATATATATGATTGCTTTATTTCCAGCTAAAATAAGCTCTTGTTAGCTGATATTTGATTCATTAGTAATTAAAAGTTAAAAAAAATTATTTGTGTTTAATTTATTTTTTTAATAAACAAGCTGAATAGGAGTTACTTAACGAGACACGTTGCCTGGCCCACCACCGAAAAAAAAGAAAAAAACTACCTCGATCGCCTCTCATATGGGACAATTGGGTCATATTTAAAAATTTAACCAAACACGATACGATTCTAGGGGCGACTTCTGCGAAGACACAGATTGATGGGGATACAGTTGTAGACATCCTCTCCCTTTCAAAGTTTTTTCCCTCAAATTCTTCTGCTGGAAGATAAAAAACTCCCACAACTCGGTTGCTTTCAAAGCCATGCGGCGACTCGCTGCGGATAGAGCTAAAAGGCTAATTCGCTCGTTTCTTGCGGCTCAATCCTCTCTTTCCGTGTCGTCACCATCTTCGTTCCTCTCCTCCCCAGCTTCCGCCGCTATGTCCACTTCTTCGACTCCAACAGTCTCCCTCGCTTCCATCAACCCAAAGGTGCGTCATGAGGATCAGTTTTCATGGAACATTTCTTAGTTTATTATTATTATTATTATTATTTGGTTGGTTTCGTCTGCGTACTTGCTGATTGGAAACGATAGCTATTCTTATATCACGTTCGGTTTCTGTATTATTTTTTTTAAATTTTAGTCTGGGTTTTGGTTTTTTAGTGAGGCGTGTATTTTTGGATTTCGTGCTGGTAGAAGCTTTTCATTGTGTTCATGGCATCCTTTTTGGTCAATTTGAGAGTTTAGTTGGATGTTTGGCTGCTGCTTGAGATTTACGTTAAATAGGATTTATCAAATCCGCGAAATCCGCCTCAAGGAAACGGAGAGGGGAGAAAGAGGCGGAGCGTAGGATTTACGAGAGTTGGATTTCTATTTCTCCATTTTTCGCGTTTGGCTGGATTTAGGCCAAATCCGTTCCTAAATCCTATTAAAGTTGTGCTACCAAACACCCCCTTACTTTTCCTGCTTCGTATTTCTCATGTATATCCGAAGGCATAGAATACAAATGCCTCGTTTGTATAACTCACATGTCTACTCCTCTCAGGAAACAAAAAAAAAAAGTGTTTTTTTACTGATTTTTTACCTAATAAAAGTGAAGTAATCTGCTTCAGCTCCTTTTAGGGGCTGTTTGGATACAGCAGGATTTAGTAAATCCTGTAAATCCAGATTTAGTAAGTTTTAATATAACTAAAACCTGAAAATTCTCTATGGGAGTGGGAAATCCGTTAAACTTGTGAATGGTGAGATGTAACAAATCCTAGATTTAACCAATAATGAGATTGAAATCAGGTTTCCAAAATAATAGTATTTCAGTTTTCAAAATTCCCTTTGGCAGGATTCATGCTAAATCTTGCTCGCACCCTTCCTAAAATGGAATACCAAACAACCTTTATCATTTTTATTTTCATTTATTTTTTCATTACATCTCTTCAATTCCTTCAAACCAAACAAAACCCCTATTCAACATAAAAGCTTTACTCATAAATCATCTGATACTTATTGATTGTGCAAAATTTTAACTTCTTTGAGTTTGAAATAATTAAGTCTTCTTATTAGTATGAATGGTACGAAAGATTCTCTTAGTTTGCAACGCTGAACCTTTTTGCAGCATTGATTTATTTATTTAATGGTGAAACCACATCAAGCACTGGATCCATTTTGTTGATCTGATGGATTCAAAATCATCTAAAAAATAATTAAAATATAAATAAACTTGCAATAGCCAACTCCAAGAAGCAGCATGACATATGTTTTACAAACTCAAAAAAAAAAAAAAAAAGAAGAAGAAAAAACGTCAGCATAAGATACAAAATGGTATATGCTAATTTTTTTATTTTGATATATATATATATATATATATATATATATTTATTGCTAAACTTGCTGTTCTGCAAATTCAGGTGATTTCTTATCTCTAATACTTTGATTCTCCATAGCATATATTGGCATCCCTTGCAGTCGTAAAGAGGCAAATTCAAGTCTTTGGTTATTTTTGTCATTTTAATGATACGTTGACCTTAGACTTTGGGTTGATGCTTAGAATGTTTATTCTTTTTATGTTTCACTTAATTTTTTCTTTTCTTCTTTGTTTATCTCTTGTATCTAATCATTTCTGCATTCACTCTCCCTGTTTTATTCAGGTGTTGAAATGTGAATATGCTGTTCGTGGAGAGATTGTTACTCATGCTCAGGTATCTTTATCTGCTCTCATGCGTGTTTTTCCCCCTTTTTTGGAGATAAAAAAATTTAAGTGTAAAAATTTTATTTTGGATCACAAAATGATGGTTGTTTTTTTTCTTATGTTTTACTGTTAAAAAAGTCTTGACTGAAAATGTTTTTGTTCATATAAATCCTCAATTGGATAGTTACTATGATTGCAATGATTAATTGTAGTATTTTAATTTAATTTCCACACAGACTATTTTGACTTTTGGTCCTCATAATCTGTGACTATTTGATGTTCTAGGAAAAGGCTGTTTTCCTCATATTTTTCAAACATGTATGTTATTTATCCAGTTTAAATAAAATGCTTAGCTTGGCTTGGATGTATCCATGTTGTTTATCACAACTTTTATGGATTTCTTACAAATTTAAGCCGCATGCTGTTATCCATTTTTCATCTCTTCTATGATAGGAGTCCTATATGAAACTTCTAAGTTTATATCAAATTTTTTATCAATGCACAACATTGGCACATCAAAATTTATTAATAATTTAAAATTTAGTGGCAACTGAAGTGCTAGTAGGATAAGAAAGTAAATTTATCTTTAAACTCTAGAACCCAGCACAAACGTCATTTAAATGTATGAGATTTGTTGTAAATGAAAATGAAATTTAAGTCCTTCCAACATCTATTGCTCCTACAACTTTCTGCATCCATCATCATTATTATTATTATTATTGTTCCAACATTTAATGTGCCTATCGATTATATGCATCATTTTTTTCTTGCACGTATTGAATTATGGGCAATATTGAAGGATGTGATCTTATTATCTTTGCCATTTCTTTTTGGTAATTATATCAAAGGCCCTGCTATAATGATTTGCACCTCCTTTATAATTCACTGCCTCATTTCCGGTAATCATTTCGGATTGGCGAAACCACCCAAATTTTTCTTAAGTTTTCTTCTTTATTTTTAAACTAGATCTAGCATTGAAGGCAGTGAGTTCGACTTGGACCTCACCAGTTTATTAAAGAAGTAAAAATAGTACAAGAGAGCAAAGCCTCAACATCAAATACAAGGAAAACTAGTACATGAAGACAACTAAAATAACATCAGATTAGAAAAAGATAAGGCCGTCATGTAGCACATCAATAGAAACTCTAGTAATCTCGATGTTTCTAATAATAGTTATGGCTTTCTAAAGCCTTCAACCCTTTTAACATATCATAATCTTCTTAAATCTAATGCTACCTAGAACTAGCTACTACATGCTTATTATGGTTTCACTCATTCTTCATAGAGTAAATCCACTATTATGAAGAAAACATGAGCCGTCAGGTAAGGCTAAGGAAGAACTGTTACTATATAAAGGGCATATAGTGATTTTCAACACGAGGGTAAACAATATGGAACTCTCTAAGAGAAAGTGCAAGTTGGGTTTGAGGAGGAATCAGAAAATGATTAAGAGGTGTTTCCAAAAGTTAACACACGAAACAAGAATGGAGCTCATCAAATCAAAGTACAAGGCCCTACTATTATACCAACAACACTGATTCAACGTCTATAGATGAAATATCTATGTTATTTTCTTACATTTTGGAGAAGAACAACTAAATTATTAGTAGAAATAACACTAACTTACAGAAGTCAATTTTACTCTATTCTCCCCCAAAGGAACATGAGAAGCCACCTCGCAAGGATCAAATCCACCACATGGTCAAAGATTCATTGGTATGGACTTTTGCCGAGGCAAAACATCCGGTTAGGGGCTACAAACTTCCCCACACTACTATGCATACTAGGATCAAAGAATCCTAAAGCCATTATCACATCTGACTAAAAGGTGTAATCATTCACAGAAGGTGAAATATTGGAATCTTACTTTATTGACTAAACTCACCAACCATTTACTTTATAGGATGCTCCTTAGATTGACCAGATGAGGACTTTGGATCAGTGACCTTAAGCCTTCTTAGCAATGTTTGTACTTTCTTTCTTATGTTTCTTTTTTATCAAAACACTAGTTTTTATAATTCAGGCGGCAAGGCAACACAGGAAAAGCTTCATAGCCCGCAATTTTGTAAACTAGTTGAAACTAGCATATTTTCAAACCTCACTTGCCGCCTATAATGATTTTGCCATCACGTATTAATTCTTCAACGGATTACCAAAATTCATAGCAAGTGAATGCAAATTAGTATTAGCAAGTGAATGCAAATTAGTATGAATAACCAAATGAAATTTGAACTAGAGCCATTAAAAGAAAGAGGCCATCTCGAACTTCTTCAAAGAAAAGCCTCTAGTGGAATAATATGTGCATGTGTGTGTATAGAGAAAGAGAGAGTTAAATCCAAAATGGTGCTTTGAGTGCACCTATGTGATCACATGAGTTCACAACTATCATATTTCTTCAACTTTATACACTAAATTTGGTCAATTTTGTATAATTGATGGACTAAATTGGAGAAATGTGATATTTCTAGACTAAATGGATCATATATGAATATTTGGGGACTATTTGGGAATTTATACATGCATTCATATATATATATATATTATTTTATTTTATTTTTTTTTTTTTGAGAAAGCCCAAAGGCTAATATATTAAAAGGAAATAAGGATACATATAGATTGTGTGGAGTGCCCAAGCATGACACTCTTCTCCCACGATAACCATCACATACAAATGATTCCAAAAAAAGAGAAAATACAGAAAATTACAAGAGACCTAAAGAAAAAAAAACAAAAAGTGCCAAAAAATGTAGTATCAGGTAGCTAGAGAGCGACCCAAGTTTGCTTTGCCTCTACCTCTAGTTCTAGGAAAGGAGTCAGCTAATAAATTGATAAGATGAGTGTCATTGCCAGTAGTGACCAAAATATTATCCAATAAGTTTCCAAGCTCGAGTCGGCCTCCAGTCTTTTTCTTTCTCCTAGAATAAACCTGTCATTCCTCATTCGAAGATTGACTCGCCTAATCAGTGGATTGACCTAAAGTGTGCCAAACATGTGTAGGAGTTTGAACATTAGAAGTAACTGCTTGTTGTACCAGCTGATCTTTGATTGAATCAAAGAAGCTCTATCGTGTGTTTTGACATGTAAGTGAATCTTCTTCAATAACAGTGAGTGGTGTAAGCACTTTTGGATCTGTACATGTAGTATGATGTTTGTCATCAGGAACTGCGATGTTGAGTAAATAATCGGTTTGCACCTTCTCAATAGGGATGGTAGGTGGCTAATCTTTAGCGATATCCAAAACATGTCCTGTGGTAACTTTCTCTCCAGATGAAACAAATATGTCCAGAATAGTGGGATTAAATCTATCCTTATTCACTTGATCTTTAGATTTCAAATTATGATGAAACTTATGACATTTATCAAGTGTATGCCCAAACATCTTACAATATAAACAGTAAGGCGGTCTATGCTTCATGACGATTTGTTGTCAATATCCATCGTGAGTTGTGTCCAATCAGACTTCATTAACATCAGGTAAAGTAATATCTCTTTCCACAAGTATTTTGACCACATAAAGTCTGGTTAGTTTGAAAGTCGGTAGATCTAGCTTCATAGGGTCCTCAAGTATGGCCCCAATAGAGTAAAGAACCTGATGATGAAAAAAGTGCAGCTTGAGACCTGGTAGACTGAACCATACCGGCACAGTAGGAGGTTCATGATTGGGGTCAAAATCAGGAGACCACTTGAGTAGCTTCATTGATTTAACAACAATGCTGAGATATTTTTTGGAGAAAATCCGAGTGTAGTTTTCAGCCACAGTTAATTAAATTAATACATGTCTCTCATCCATGAGCCCCACTTTCCAGTTTTATGCTAATTTGAAATCATCAAAATTTTTCCTGATAGCTTCCATAGGTGGGTACCCCCACTGAAATTTTCCAATAAGAGCAAACTTAAATTTGTCAGTCATTGTTGAAATTTCTAACTCCGAGAAAAAAAGTGTCGTTTTCCCAATTTTTGTACTTGTATTCTTAATAAATGGGCAGTCACCTGTACCATCATGATATTCCTTATAAATTAAAGGAAAGACAACCGTCGTCTTCACGTGAGGATTACCCACCACGTAGGCAAAGGAGGCTTTGTCAGATTCAACCAAAGAGGAAGGAAGCTGCATCACAGCAATTAGAAGCCCTTCCAAGTCGGTCAGAGGGCAGGAATGACGAGCCGAAGACGGTCAAGAACCGAAGAGACCAAACACTCGATGTTGTCAAGCTGAGTCGAGAAGGAAGACGAATGAGGAAATGAGCACGCAACCCCTTCCCGTCTTCAGTGAGAAGGAAAACGTCATCTTCTGTGAGATGTAACCTAACAGAGACGACGAGATGCAAACTCTATCGGCTTCGAACAGAGACAACAAGACGCGAGCCGCAGTCGATGTCGAAGCAGCGCGAGCCGACAACGACGGACAGGACGGAGAGACGACGCCGGAGGAATGATCTTAAAGCGATAAGGGTTGCTAGGGTTCGACATGGGTCGAAACCCTAGCAAAGCCGAGCGTGGGAGACGGCATCTTTGAGAGAGAGAGAGAGAGAGAACTATAAACTTGCAAAACATGTGCTATTTGATGCAGCATGCATTTTAAATATGTCTATCCAAGTTTCTTCCATGTTTGTTGTCAAATTAACTTGCCTTATGCATATAAGAACAGTGGCTCCAATTTGAGCAGACATCTCACTGACTGTTTTTAGTATAGTTGATGGACTAAATTGGAGAAATGTGATATTTCTAGACTAAATGGATCCTATATGAATATTTGGGGACTATTTGGGAGTTTATACATGCATTCATATATATATATATAGACAGAGAGAGAGAGAGAGAGAGGGGGGGGGGGGGGGAGAGAGAGAGAGAGAGAGAGCTATAAACTTGCAAAACATGTGCTCTTTGATGTAGCATGCATGTTAAATATGTCTATCCATGTTTATTGTCAAATTAACTTGCCTTATGCATATAAAAACAGTGGCTCCAATTTGAGCAGACATCTTACTGACTGTTTTTAGTATCATTCTCTGATTACGTCATGATATTATTTTTTATTTATTGATGGTTTTGATGCTGCAAAATTGATTTTTAGAACGATCTTTTTGTCCTGAGAATTGCAAGTAGACATATGAATGCATGTATCTGCACATGGCATGCCTGTGTTTTTTTATTAGTTTTCTACTCTCTCTCTCTCTCTCTCTCTCTCTCTCTCTCTCTCTCTTTTAAAGATCTTAAAGTGTGGTATGATTGGAGTTGGAGCTCACCTTCTTTTTGCTGAGTTTATGGTAGACTGGCAGCTTCTTTCTATAAGTTTGTAAAGATAACCGGTTGATTGAGTTATTATTTATCAAGTATTACACTAAAAAAGCATATTGGACAAGATTTAATGGGCTGCTTTCCTGTGCAGCGCTTACAAGAAGATTTGAAAGCGAAACCAGGTTCCCATCCTTTTGATGAGGTGCGTATATATGAAAGCATAACCAGGTTGTTAAACAGTACCCATTCTTTTGCTTAGACAAATTTTTCTTACATTCTACCAGATACTATATTGCAATATCGGGAACCCCCAGTCCCTTGGTCAGCAGCCGATTACCTTTTTTAGAGAGGCATGTTCTGATTATTCTATAAATCTTGACCACTATGTTGTTTATGAAATCAGCTGCTTCTTAATGTATATTCTATTTCAGGTTCTTGCTTTATGCGAACATCCTTCCATTTTAGACAGGGATGAAACTCATGGCTTGTTCAGGTATGGTAGTAGAAAATATGATGTTGAAGTCTGTTGTAAAATATTTACATTTGCAATTTCTCATGCAACCTGCATTCAAAAGCTTAAGAAGTATTTGAGGATTATAACCCTTCGATATCATCCTAGATATTTACGTTTTTTTTTAATTTTTTTTTAATGCTACTTTTATACTGGACTCTACAGCATAGTATGCGCTTTTTAATTGCAGTGTATGCTAGTGAATGATCGCATATGCATTTTTCATGGTTTAAATGTGCTTGTGTGTGAGCTTGAGGAGGCATGCCATTGCGCTTCGTGTACAGCTTTCACTGGGTCTGCATGACATGCCACTTTGAGGATCTTTTTTGTCACTCAAATCTTTAACATAACGTCAAAAATACCACTATCATTATTTTTTTAAAAGTGAGACACTCCTTCCCTTGCATTGCTTTATGACAACAAGGTGTAAACATAACCACAAAAAATACCGCTGTCATTATTTTTTTAAAGGTGAGACGCTCGTTTCCTAGCATTGCTTTATGACAACAAGGTGTTATAAGTGTAGATATCGAACTTTAGGTGTTAGATCCGTAAATACATAAGAATTATTCACGAGTCAATTTAAATGGCATTTATCTGCAATTATTCAGCTTTTAATTTGACTTGTGCGCTTTAGAGCTAGTGCGTTGCTATAACTGAAAGCTTTTTTACATATTTGATATTTTTCATTGTTTTATAATAGGATCTATGTTCACCTTTGCTTTGTTAAATCATATCGTATAACATGTTTGATATCATGTTTTTTTGTTTGTTTCAGTGCGGATGCCATAGCAAGAGCATGGGAGATTCTAGATGTAATACCAGGTAGAGCTACAGGTGCTTATAGTCACAGTCAGGTAGGAGAGCAGGTTGATTTATCCTTGTGCATTTTTCTCATTCAATTTTTAGAATTGGTGTTCTTTCTACAATTTTCAGGGAATTAAAGGTTTACGAGAAGCAATTGCAGCAGCAGGAATTGCTTCGCGTGATGGATATCCATGCAATTCCGATGATATTTTCTTAACAGATGGTGCAAGTCCAGCTGTATGCCTTTAGACCTCTGTTTCTTCGGTTATGTAGCTTTGATTTTATGGCAATGGGGAAAGGAGCCAATTACTAGATACATCGTTTCCTTTTGTTTTTCTTTATAGGTGCACATGATGATGCAGTTACTAATCAGGTCTGAGAAAGATGGCATTCTCTGCCCTATTCCGCAGTATCCTCTTTATTCTGCCTCAATTGCTCTGCATGGTGGTTCTCTTGTATGTTTCCTGCCTGGTTGCTCCCTGTCTATTTAAGCGTGCACTGAGTTAATGTATTATCATAGGTTATATTATATTATATATATCTATATATATGGGCATTTACATATATGCTACCCAATTTCTATGTATTTACATTTGAGGAAAGTGTTAAAACGGTCTGCTAACTCTTTGTGGAGAGTTATTTTTGTCCCAAAATCGATAAAAGTGTTAATTTAGTCCTCCAACTCTTTTAATTGGGGCTAAGATAGTCTTTTGGGGACTATTTCAGCCCATATTAAAAGAGTTTGGGGACTAAATAGACACTTTTATATTCTAGAACTAAAATGTTCACATGTAATAGTCAGGGGACTATTTTGACACTTTACTCACTTACATATCGAACACCTAATGTTTATTCAAAAAAAAGTTAAATTCACCTTTTTAATAGTGATATGTTTGTAGAAATTGAAGTCTAGGTCTTAGATATGTAAATATATATAAGAACTGAGTGGTCTGCTTGTAAGTATATATATATATATATATATATATAGATAGATAGATAGATAGATAGACACACACACACAAACATACACTGCAACTTTGTTTTCATTCTGATGGTTCTATATAAATAGTCGTATCATGGGCAATTTTTTGTTCCAGGTCCCATATTACTTAGATGAAGAAACCGGATGGGGGTTGGAGATATCTGACTTGAAGAAGCAATTGGAAGATGCTCGGTCCAAGGGTATAACTGTGAGGGCACTTGTGGTGATAAATCCAGGCAATCCCACTGGACAGGTTTCTCTCTAATCAAGGGCTGCGTGGAGTTGTGTTTCTTTTGTTATTACCTCTTAAAATCTATCTAAATTTAATAAAAGGTTTTCTTATGAAGCATATGCTGGCCCAAGTATGTTAATGTTGTAGTAATTGAACCTTGCAACCAATCCATCTTTTATTTATCTCTAAGGCTTCATTTTGAGCGGCTTCCCGACTCCTTTGCGTTGGACGGAAAGGCGATAAACCACAACATGTGGTTTGATGAAGCATTATTTCTCGAGCATCCACCAACGCTGATCCGCAAAAACGGCATTTTTTCGCCTTTGTAAAACAGCCTACCTCCATTCCGCCAACGTAACGTTTAGGCGAAGCTCCTTCAAATGTAGCCTTAAGTGTTCCGCTGTAACCTAACCTAATTTTTGTGAAAAGTAAGCAGTGGTTGATTAGGTCTAAATCTAAGGTTAGATTTGGTAGATTGAATTTGTGACTTTGAATGGGAATACATGGGAGTTTGTGGATATTGTGATTAGGAGGAGGATTGACTTATTTACGTGAAACTAAATAATAAAGTTGAAAAACTATGAACATAAGAAAAAATATTATGTATTTTGTGCTGGAAATGCTAACAATATGAATGAGGTTTGGATGGTATTGGCTAAAGAGTTAAAAAATTATTTTTTTAGCTATCAAGTGATAATTGTTGATGGATACAATATGAATATGGTTAAGTTTTATATTCAAATTAGGTTAAAATATTATTTTTAAATTTATTTCGGAAACAAATGGGTGAATGACTAGAACGTGAGTAAATGATACTTGTTGGAGGTAATTAAAGACATATGAGATCTACTAGGATGGGCTATGGGAGGATTCCTGGTGAGTATAAAATAGAATACAAAAATGCATTTGGGATCTACTAGGATGGGCTATGGGAGGATTCCTGGTGAGTATAAAATAGAAAACAAAAATGCATGTGAGAAGCTATTCTTAGTTTGCAATGGCTTATAATCTTAAATAGTGAATATATGCTTTAAGAAATGAGTGTTACATCTAATTACTTGCAAATAGTAATCATCAAATTAAAAATAGATTTCTTCTTCGGAAAAAATGTGCTTGCAAAGTTTGTAAACTCATTTCAAGGGAGCATTTGAGCACACTATATAGAGTAATAGTCACATGTATGTTTTAAGTTTCAATAAAGCAGGCAAAAAAAAAATAATTGTCTTAGTTTTTATGTGAAAAAATACCTTAATATAAGGTGGTTAAATTTAAAATACAAGTCATGTAAATATAAATTGCTAAGGTTGGCAAATTTGAATTATTTACTTGAGCCAAATATAATGTGAGATATGATTAATTCTATTAAGAATATTATCATAGAAGTTGTAGGAAAATTTAGAAACCGATCATACATTGATAAGGAGATTTAGTGGTAGAGGGCATACAAAGGCTGTTACTGTTTCTCGAAAGGCTACTTCTATCCTCAACACGAAACACTACTTTCTCGAAAGGCGGCGTCAACTATGGGCAAGGGAAGAAGAGGTCAAACCGTTGTTACTATGCAAAGGAATAGAAGAAAGGCTCGAGCCCTTGCAGAGGAGACGAGGCTTTGCTTGTAAGGAATCTGAGCCTCACGTGCCATGGAAGAAGAGTATTCCGCGTGTTATGTTGGACGAGATGAGAGCGGAGAAAAGGGGGAAAGGAGGCGCGTGCGTGTTAGGCTATGAAGCACGGATACGAACTCGATGATACGGATATGACATGACACAATACAGAGACACGCCATACTTGAAAAAAATATGACTCGACACGCCATGGACACAGTTTTATCTTTAATTAATTATTAATATAAAATATATATATTTCCGTTGTTCTTTATTTAAAATATCACAACACAAATAATGCAAGGATAAAATTTAATTTATATAATAAAATCTCACACTTATGAAAATTAATTTTCAAAAATAGATATATTATCTTTCAAAAAATTCATCAAACTTATAATCAACTTGTATATTAAAATTTTAAATATCCTACAATTACTAAGAGGGAACTACTAATGCTCGATTTCGAGGAATAGTGGATATACCTACATTACTCGATTTTGACCAATCTAAGTGGGAGCTTTAACATGACAAGAGAGAGGCGATTTCAACTATGAGGTATACTTAAGATTATATATATATATATATTTATAATTTTCTACTTTTTGCTGCTCTATTTTTTCTTGAAATTGTGTTAAGCTCACGTCAAATGTAATGTTAAGATGTATCCAAACGAGTTTGGACTTGAAAAAAAAAATCGGACATATCTTTTGTAGTGTCGGAGAAGTGTCGGGGCATGTCGAACAAATATCAGTATCTGATATGTGCCGACACGGGTATGGCTCATTTTTAGAAGTGTCGGTGCTATATGGGTGTTAGGGCTTTCAACTCAGATAAAAAAAAGTGTTTTAATATTTATTAATTAACTTTAATAGAAAAATACATGGGATTAGGACTCGAGGTATAAAATTTCAGCTTGGAGGGGAGAAGAAGCAAGTGAAGTGTGCGAGCTAAATGTGGAGGGAGATTAATCTAAGCAAACTCCGGTAAGGTAATTTTGGTTTTATATTATAATTTAATTAATGAATTATATATATAGGCTTACATAAAGTAAAATAATGAAAATTTAATACTTAAATAATGTACTGTTAATAGTTAGTTAAAAGAATATAAATTAATTAAGTTTTAGTTATATGAATAGACATGTTTATTATAGATACCAATTTTAGAAGAGTCAAGATCAAGATAAATTCAATAATAAGTAAATCAACATCAGGGTGAGTACTTCTACTCTTAGATTATAGTATCATTGTTTCTCTTTTGAACCTTGTATGAATTGTTATTTATACTTGATTAATGCAATTGGTTCATCTATACTTAAATTTTATTGGTCATTTCGATATGAATCCTTATAATTTCTTATTATGAAAATTTTATGCATTATATTATTAAATATTACATATTGAGTTATATGAAATTGTAAATGATATAAACTTCAAGGATTGATTGTATGTGTACATTTGGATATGATGAAGTCATCTCTTTATGATACTATATAGGGAACGCTAAGGTACCCACACACGTAAATGATTGAGGATATTGATATTTAAGTACCTTAACTGGTACAATTTTTAGGCAGTGCTCCTATGATGATTGTATATATATAAAATGATATAAAAATGTTATTCATATAGTAAAATATTTTGATTATTATGGAATATCATGAGTGATCATATTTGTAAATTATCAAATACTTTATACTTATTTTAAAACACTTAACTGGTATGAATATTATTATTATTATTTCATCGTGATACTATAGTCTAAGAGTGTGATTATTCACTAGTTTTGAATAGCTCATTATATTTTTTATTAACTTTTCAGGTTCAAAATTTGTGTAAAGATAAAAAATAGAAGAGAAAATGTTTATAGAGGACGTGAAAACATGACATAAAGATAAATTTATAACAACTTTAATTTAATTTATAGTGGCTCTTTCATTTATCAATTTTGAATCATTAATAGTCATAGAAAATTTGATTAATGTCGTTTGATCGTATGGTCCCTTCTTGGTTGATTCTAAATCTTAGACCGAGTCATAACAACTATGGTCGTTTGATTAACTTTTTTCTTTCAATCAAAATTTGAAGATGTCTAAAATTATGCTAACTACAATAGAGTTAAACTTATAACTCATGGTTTAAAAAAATATGTTGATTGAAGAATCAATTTCATTTCATGCTAGTAAGATCTTAAACTTTTTTTTGTTAAGATAATTAGCGAAAAATATAAACACACACACACACACTCTATATATATATATATATAATTAAAAGATGGTTGACGGAGAATCCTGGTAATTAATTTGGTTTGTTTTAATACAAAAAGTGTGTCAAAGGTATGTTAAAACTGTTAAAGATAAGTATCATATCAAAGCTTGACATGTATGGAGCATGTTCAAAGTGAGATGTTATGGTGTATGTTCTTTTTAGATTTCATTGTTTGACTAAATGATACATATATTGAAATAAATGAAAATTTTAACCAAAAAAAAAAAAAAGATAAAGTGCTTAGAATGAGAAAAAAGACGGTACATGCTCTACAATGAGTGGATGAGATATTAATAGTTTTTAATTACCATTATTATCACCTATTATAAAAGAGAATAGAAATATAGATCAGGATTTAGCTTTTAGAATTTAGGATTGATGGTTAAAATGAAATAGTACTTAAAGATGATTATGTGTTAAAAATGATTTCATAATAAAATCACAGTTAGGTGAGTGGATATTCTATGAATGAGTGTGAGTAGTAAAAAAGCTAATGATATTTAAGTTGAGTGGGAATAGGTTGAGAACGTTAATATGAATGTGTAGCAAATCAGAAAGGATAAATTAAAGGATTATATTGGCTGAATTGTTGGAGTGACATATATGAAAGATAAAATAACTGAAAAATAGCCTTAGGCAGTTGGACATGTATACAGAATGGTAAAAAATGCGTTCAATAGAGGATTAGGAAGGATATGAGGTAGATCTAAAATAATATGGATAGAAGTTTTAAAATTATTTATCATGATTAGGTTTCGAACATGGTCCATTGCTCATTAGGATTGAATGAAAAAATCGGATTCATTAGGAAATTATGATGCATAAAGCCAATCCAAAGAGTTGGGATAAGATTGGCTAATGATGATTATTTTTCTCTTTTCTTTTAGTAATATTATATTCTACCACTCTCTGCAGCATTCCAAGAGCAATAAAATTGTTGATTGTTCTCAATGGGATACTCTCTATAATTTGCTATCAATTGGTGCTTTCCTTTTTTTTAATTGCTTTAACCATATAACACTCAGGTTCTTGCTGAGGAGAATCAAAGACAGATAATAGAGTTTTGCAAGGAAGAATCCCTGGTTTTACTTGCAGATGAGGTACGTGTTACCTTTTTAAGCCTGTGTCTACACTTCATGCCAATTGTGACTGAAAAATGGTTTTTGGCTATATCTTAATTTTTTTTTTAGTTCTCTTATATTGGATGCTGTGTTTGGTTATCAGTAAAGTATATGAAAGTGTATGCTTTTTCATAGGTATACCAAGAGAATATCTACGCTGGGGGCAAGGAATTCAATTCACACAAGAAGATTGCGAGATCGATGGGATATGGTGACAAAGATATTTCCATAGTATCTTTTCAATCTGTCTCTAAGGGTATATTATTTTTATGTTTCATTTGATGGAATTTTATCATATATCTACCTATATTTTGTGTATTTTTGTGTAGAAAGAAACCATATGTAAGAGTACTTTGGTTTGATTTTAAATAGCTCATTTATGGGACGAAAACTAATGGATTTTGCCCCCTAGGATACTATGGAGAATGTGGAAAGAGGGGGGGCTACATGGAGGTTACTGGCTTTAGTGCTGATGTGAGAGAACAGATTTACAAGGTGGCATCTGTGAATCTCTGTTCAAACATCTCTGGCCAAATTCTTGCTAGCCTCGTAATGAATCCACCGAAGGTAATTGAGAATTTTTTTCATCCTTACTATAGTTTAACAGAAAGGGGAAATTTACAGACATACCACACAATACTTATGCATTTACATGTCTAACACCTAAAGTTTGATATTTACATTTGTAACATCTTGATATTAAAAATCTATGCATGAAAAGGTGTATTTCGATTTTAAAAAGTGGTATTTTTGTTCTGATGCCAAAGATTTTAATGTTGTGTATGTCAATATATAAGAATTGTTTGGTTATGTATGTAAATGCCCCAATAAGAAAAACTTAGTTCTCAAGTAATCCAAGGGAACAATCCTAATCAATTTGGTTTCCTGCCAGATATTGTTATTGCTATTTCTATATCTTTCTTTACATTCTGCAGCCCGGAGATGAATCATATGATTCTTTCACTGCAGAGAGAGATGGAATTTTGTCATCTTTGGCACGGCGTGCTAAGGTTTGAGTTTATAATCGCTTTGATATTATTAGCTGATGTAAAATAGCTTTTTTTTCAGATCAACTTTTGACTTGAATTTTCACTATATTTGTGATAGTATGAATTTTATAAATTTGGTCAAGTTTTTTTTTACTTCTAGTTGAGTTATTGCCCATCATTCATGTTTGTCAAATGCCCTTTATATTATATTTCACTGAACATACTTCAAATTGCCTTTTACACATCTCATATTTTTCTTTATTTTGAGGGCTTTTCTGTAATATAGTACCATTGTTAATATTGGCAATTTAATTCCTTAAATCATGACTACTTCATCCTATTTGGGATTCTTGTCAAAAATAGCATTAGTAAAAAAAAATTCTGTAAATTAGAATTTATATCTCATGCATCATTTTTACTAGAATAGATGTAAAAAAAATAAAAAATAAAATTTAAATTAGCTGACCCCAAATAGTTGGGATGAGTCTAACACTAATATATTTTTACTTAATTCTATTATCTTTTACTACACTGAAGAAGGCCCTAACTTTAGGCTTACATTCGAAAGGTCAAGTCAATAGAAATTGCTGTTATAAAGAGCTCACCACTTCCATTTAATGCAGGCATTAGAAGATGCTTTCAATAGCTTAGAAGGTGTGACCTGCAACAAGGCTGAGGGCGCCATGTATCTCTTTCCTCGCATTCGCTTGCCAACAAAGGCAATTGAGGCCGCCAAGGCGGTGAACTCTGTACCCGATGCATTCTATGTTCGCCGTTTGCTCGAAACGACTGGAATTGTCATCGTACCTGGTTCTGGCTTCGGCCAGGTGACCTTTCTTATTCTTATTCCATCAACTTTAGAATTATGCTTTCTGTTAGGGTGTAACTAATCAAGTTGACTCATGAATAAACTCGGGCTCTACACGATAACTGGCTTATATGAGCTGAGCTTGGTGAGCACTCATGAGCCAGCTTGGGCTCGTCTCGATAAGTGGCTTGTGAGTTGAGCTCAATGAGCACTTGTGAGCCCACTAGGGCTCAACTCGATAAGTGGCTTGTGAGTTCAGCTTGATTAGCTAACAAATCAACTTCAAGCCAAGCTCGACTCTACTTGTGAGCTTGTGAGTCGGTTTAAACTTATAAAATTAAGCTAGAGGTGGAACTCGAACTCAATTAAATTAATCATGCAAACTCAATTACACCATTAGTTTTTTGTTATCCATGTCAATTTTTTCTCCTTGTTGTGGTTGAAGGTTCCTGGAACATGGCACATAAGATGCACAATTCTTCCTCAGGAGGATAAGATGCCTGCTATCGTCTCCAGGTTCAAGGCATTTCATGAATCATTTATGGAAGAATTTCGGGACTAAAAAAAAGAAAGAAAGAATTATTCGTGCTCATTCTCCACAACATTGGTCTGAAATAAAATTATTGATCATTTATGTTTTATTTTTTATCAATGCAGTTGCAGTTTTTGCTTATTTATGATTTTTTTGTCATCAACAGAAGGACAAAAAAAATTGGCTATAATAACTGGGGTATGGGGTGTAAGATTTGTTTTAGGACTCAGGAGTAATTACTGTTGGTTGAACCTTTGGATTCATTTTAAGTTATAGATTAAACATTCGTCCTCTCTTTGTTTATTTGTTGTGATTATAAAAGTTTAGTTTCAGCATTGCAAATCAGTTTTGTTTGCGTTCTCTTTATTTATTTATTTATGATTTTTCCTTTTTGTGTTGCCAATCGAAATATTAGTGATAAATGCAATTAAAAATTTCTTGGGGGATTTATGTGCATAGTATATATATAATAATTAAATGATCAAAGAGAATCAAAATGGGCGAGCAATTAAGTCATGTTTATTAGATATTAACAAGAACGCTTACCAACTCTTAAATGATTCTCTCTTGTTACCTCACACGAATAGAATAAGCCCATGAAACAAAAAGGCTCTTGGTTGCTCAAAATTAAAAAAAAAAAATCAATTTAATTTTAAATCAATAAGTTTGTTTCAATTGTATATTTTTCTTTTTAGGAAAAGTGAACCAAAAAAGCAATATGCATGATTTAAACCTGTAACTTTATGGTGGAAGATTATGCCATCAACAATTATGTCATGAATAAATGTGCAATATATAATTGCCATACAATTACTTTTTAAATCTTGAAAAAAAATGACATCTAAAAGATAATGGGGCAGGAATGAAAGTAATTGTTCACTTCTAAAAACAAACCGTTGTTAGTGGGAACAGAAGAAAAAGGTGCCCTAATAATTGCATGATAAACAACACATGTTCTAAAGCCACATAAGTAGGCATAGTTAGCATAGCACAACATCAATCAAATTGAGTATTTAATAAACCATAATTGATAAATCAAATGAATACTAAAATAAGCGAATCCATCAAACTTTTACCTACTTTAACCATATAAAATACAAATATTCTAACAATGTCAAATGAACCAACTCTGACACATCTTTATATAGCAACTACTATTCTGTAAATACAGCCACGATGTTATGATAAATGAACATGGTTATGCCTACCAATTTAATCTAAAGGCAAAACCTCCATATTTTTTTTTTTTTGCAATTTTTCAGAAAACCAATAGATGAAATACGATAATCTCAGACAAATAATCATACAAACGTGGAAACTCCTCATATATCTTGCAAAAAAAATAATTAGAGAAACATCTATAGCAGCCTGAACTTTGCAAAAAAACCCCTAGCCGAATGAATGTATTCTCCCTCAAATCAATAGTGTTTCTCGGGCAATAACCTAGATCTGCGCCTATGGAAGCCAGAGGCCAAGCAGAGCTATTCATATTGTAGTGTAATGCAAGTATAACAAAAGTATGGCTGTACAAATAGATATTTGTAACCTCAGTTCTGTTGCCTTTGGGCCGTCGCAGAAATCTGGACGAGAGGATCATGCTTCTTCTTGCTGCGAGAAGCTCGCCGCGGCCTGGGAGATTTACCAGATTTTGAAGATTGTTTTTCGGTACTTTCTTGGAAGATAGAGACAGCCTCGTGTGGAACGACTGGGGGAATTTTGGGCCATGGAGTTCTCTTTGCAGGAACAATGATCTCTAGAGGAGGGTCTATGATCCATCTACATGCATATATACAGATTTCTTAGATGACAAATATATATATAACACCTAAAATTTGATATTTACACTTACAACATCCTGATGTCATAAACCTATGCATGAAAAGGTGTATTATACTTTTAAAAAGATCGTGATAATTAATGATAATAACAATTTTTATGTGATCTTAAAGACTTGAGTGGTATGCATGTAAAAGTGAATGTTTAGGTGTTAGATATGTAAATGCGTAAGAGTTGTGTGGTATGCATATAAATGCCCCTAATACATATTTGCTAAAGAGAGGCAAAGCAATGGTATAAATGAAGTTTTGAAGATGAAAGCATGATGAGAAAACCATCCCAACCAGAACTCCTGTTAAAATTATGGTTTTATAGTTTTGATTGCAATTTTGCAATTCTCTTCTTTGAAGTATACAATTCACTTTGCTAAGGGGTTCAAATCTCTGCTAGAAACTTGCACTATGAAACATTGGCAACAACCGAATTGAGCTCCGCAAGATAGTCCCACAAAACAGAAGAAGAAATGGAAAGAATGGGAGTAAAAAGATTTTAAAACAAATGCGAACATTGATTGCGGATAAAGAAATAAGAGATTTAATCATGGAGAAAATTGTTGAAATCTACAAACCTGGTCAAGATTGAAATATTAGGTGAAAAAATATTGGAAAGAACCTGTCCACATGAAATTTCCAGAACTATAATTATATCAATAGTAAAACATGGAATGAATACAACTTAATCAGGTTTTAATAAAATAATGAGGCTTTAAAATAGATTGCCATTAGGCACAACTAGAACTGTTGGAGATCCTTCGTTTTAGATTAGGCCGAAGAATTGTTCTTCCATCTACTTTGCGGTAGCGTAGTAAAAAAATTTCAAAGTTCCGTTACAAAAGTAATTTTCCTTGGAAAATTTACGTACTTATCATTTAATTCCTATCTATTTAATAGCTTACACCTAAACTTTAATTTTTACATATATGCCGCATTACCTAGCATGAAAAGATGTATCTCACTTTTTAAAAATTTAAATAGTGTTACTTTTTATGTGATATGAAAGATTTGAAGGTTATAAATGTCAAAAAGTAGAATTTAGGTGTTAGATATGTAAATACATATGAATTGGGTGGTATGTATGTAAATACCACTTTGTACTAACAAAACTTTACGGAGTTCTGAAACTGCTTTACAGAATAGCTTTTTTATGGAATTTTCAGATCTTCTTTAATTAAATGAATAGTCCAAGAAAACCAACCCTTAGGACTTATGGCATTTACAAAAGAGCACAAATGCATGTTTTAGCTAATTTAAGAGAATAAGGCCCTTAACAAAATATGGTTGGCAAATGCCCAAAACACTATAAGCAAAGGAATTAAAAGAAAAAATGGCTGCATGGCAAGATTATTTTAATATCGAGAAACAGTTTTGAAGGATGTAAAAATAATTATTATATTATACCATGTTGGGTAAATAATCATTTTTTTATCTTCCATCATATTTTAAATTTAAAAATATTATTAAATAACTTATTTTAAATACCTAAAATTAGTTATTTTATATTTGTAAGAACTATAGCCCATGAAATGAGCATTTTTATCATCATCTATTTTTTCTTCATCATCACCCATGGTCAATTGTATATAGTTAAATTTCTATCCCTCCAGCTCTTCTTCAATCTGAAATCTACAAATTCAGAGCTTGGAGGGCAAATAAAGCTTCAAGAAGCCAGGAAAATTCAGAAAAAAGAAAAAGAAAAGATGAGATAAGGTTAAATTGAATAACTAATCTTCTTCTTTAAATCAAATGTTAAAATAGTTTCAATTTTACTAGATAAAGTCTATTGTATTTTATTTTTCCACAAATTTTAAATAAGGTTTTCAGTGCAACTGGATAACCAAAATAAACAGCAAATCTATGCAGAGAATAAAAATAAAATGAGACACAAATCAACAAATATAAATACCAATCAATATAATGTTTGTCCATAATTTTATTTCAGGGAGAAATCATGAAAGTTCTAGAAAGTAATAAGGTATAAGATAATTTAACCTTTACAAATGTAAGACAATCAACAGAAGAAATTTCCTAAGCCACAACATACAGACAACACAGCCAATTAATACCGAAGTACATGAGGATTCTTCGGTTTTCCCCAGAGTTTCATTATATTATCTCACGGAAAAAGGCCAGACAGAACTAATTTAGCCCGAGATGAACAAAAATGGGCAAGCAAAGTCAAGCCAGGTTGATTGGGAAAATTAGTCCAAAATCCTACTAATTACACTATAAGAAAACTGGAAGTTTAACACTAAAAATCATTTTTTCTTTATCAAAGCTTTGATAAATGCCAAATAAAACTAGATCAAAATATGTAAAGACTAACTGCTTGCTTTGATTTCATATTTCTTATCAAGGATAAAAAGTTTAGTAAATGCTAGTTGGAATCAAAAGTGTAATAGCTTAACTTTCAGATTCTTCCAATGTAACTAAACCAAATGAACAAGTCCATTAATACAGTTATCTTATATTAACCACTATTAGAAGAATATTAAAGAAAGTACAAACTCAATTAGTATCTACAAACCACACTACCACTTGTATTTTAGTGTTGATTTAAAGAATTTACAACACAGATGCACATAGAATAGAATTTGACAGTTTAGCTTCACATCCATCTAGCGTTTGATTTAACTAAAATTATCCCATCAATAGAGTTAATAGTTGAAACTGATTTTATAGTCTTCTCCTTTACTAGCACTTCGTCAACTTTGATTTAAAGGACCAAAAAAGTCAAAGTGCCATATATATAACAACATGTTTCACCTTGAACTTAGCATCCAAATATCTAATGTCTAAATTACAAATTGCATACTACCTATTGCGTGCCGGAAAATTTGCAATGACGGCATAGTAATTTATCGTCTTGGCATTACAAAAAAAATTCAGCATTATAGCAAAGGAAGATACCAAAATTTCAAATGAAAAATGTCTGAAAGAGAAAAAATCACGAGGTCTAGCCCAATCAAAGTAATTCATTATATGTTTAAAAGTAAAGGGGCACGTCATTCTTTCACGACAGAGAGAATGAAGTTACAATCTTACAATGCAAACAACACTTCCCTTTGTATAGCTAAAAAAATACAAGTGTTAGAAAAATCAACCAGTCGTAGTCTAGCTAGAACAGTGGTTGGCAGTAGCAAGTAGTGATGACAAGCAATGGTCGATGGTGGCTGATAGTTAAGGAGGCCAATGGTTACTCGTTGAGTCTTCTCTTAATAACAAGCTCTGGAATTTCACTTTTTTTTTTCTTCTCCTCCCCCCCCTCCAAATGAAAAGAGGGAGTCTATTTATAGAATTTTGGGAGGGGTGTTTTGGCCTTTTGGCACATAAATTTTTTAACTACATGATCAAATGGTCCATAGTAATCTCCTTTGGTCGTAGATGATTTTTTAAGAATTTAGATCCTTAATGACCTCGAAATTGAGCGATCTTAAGCTAGTTGAATTGCTCTCGTCAAGACGCTCGGTTCGACTATAAATATGTCAAATTTGCAGTTTATTTGACCATTCAATTGACTATCCAAAGTCTCCAATTGTGCTTCAATGGCTTGATTGGACCAAGATTGAACCAATTATAAAGTCGTTGGGTTCATCTTGGCGAGGCATTTAGTTTGATTATAAATTTGATGAAATCGAAACTTGGATGATCATGAGATAGAATTTGAAAGATTCTTATAAACATGTATCTAGATTCATATTTAATAATAAAATATTCTTAATGAAACATCACTACTATAAGTCCACCAAAATAAAAAGTTAAAGCCTAATTCATAATAGACCATGAAAAGTATTCCCGATGGAGACATAGAAAGCTGCTGTGGAAAAAGAATTAAGATATCACCAGGTTGTTCGATTTAATTACGGTACAACAATTTTGAACTTATTTTTACCAAGTTTATCCCTTTTGTAAATATTAGGTTTAAAATGGTTATTGAGATTTGTAAATAAACTTCCTAATCTTTCTTTAAGAAGTAAAATGAAGTTAACTTTGAAGAAGATGCTCGTATAAGTTATGAAAATATGGGTTTAACACTAATTTGAAGAGTTAAGGGTAATATTACAATAGTTTGATTACATTTTTCTGCAACAAAATTTTAAGTGCTACAAGGACGTCAACTGATTAGAGAAATAATAATAATATTTAAAAATAAAAGAAATATCCAAGATTATTAAAACCATAGACAAATTAAATCTATGAATCATAAAATAAGCATATGATAACAATAGAAAAAAAATTATATATACACTACTAACCCTCTAAAGAGAAAAGCTTCATTTTCATAAAATTATTTGTTAGCATTATTGGCTTAAAAATTAAAATGAAGAAAACTAATATTTATCTAACACCTACAAATAACATTTGTGATCAAATTTCATCAATCTTTAATAATGTTTAAGAATTAATCAAGGTGGACAAAAAAAAATGAAATGTCTACATTGCATATATATATATATATGATGACATGACATAGGCATCCGTCAATATGTTTTAGACATGTTCAAGCATATGTATGCGTGCACATATGATGTAAACACTATATATTCACTATTAACACCCGCAACTGCAATCTTCCTCTACACATTTGTGCGCACAACACATGGATGTGCACATTTGTAGTTGCAAACACATTATATAAATCCCCAACTTTCTTAGGAAGCATAGAATAAACTCTTTTCATATTTTCCTTTCTCGATTAAGCATCGGTAGCCATCAATAAAGCTCAGTTATTCTTAGACTGCCAAATTTATTCAACGCACCTCTATGGACCATATGTTGAATATTTTTCCATAGATTAGAGAGAAGCGTATGTATCTATCTATTTTCTACATATCAATATGGAAATGTATATGTTTGTGTATGGCTATTCATAAATATTATTGTTACAATAATAACAATAATAACAATTATTATTATTATTATTATTTTGCTCCGAAATGCAAGAATTTCTTAGTAAAATAATGGACTTATACATGTAGGTATATAATTTGCAATATTTGTGAGCACGGGAGCATGCTGTGGATTGTTATGCATTTGCAAAATTCATTGCGTCACGGACATAAATTTATGAGAAATTTCAAATGGAAGATGAATGAGAGAGAGAGATAGCGAGATATCATTCGATCGAATTGTGAATGTTCCCAGATTTAAGGACTCTTAACAATCATTAGCTTATCCCAAAAATATAGAACTACCTAATTAACCGATTTAATCCGTTAAATATTTGAAAAATAACAGCAACAAAAGTTAGGAAAAGAGACCTCCTTAAATTCCAATAAACAAAATCCTCAGTTAATATTTGCAGTTCAGGGTCACTTACCCAGGGGGAAACTTGCTGTCCGCTCTGGCTTCAGCACGGAGCCACCATAGCAGCACCTTCTTCCCACAGTTCCCCAGCGGCTCAATAAACGATGGATCCTGAAGCAAAGCCAAAGGGCTCTCAATCTCTTCCCCATCCTTCCCCACGTCATCCAAATTTCTGACCCAATCTGGTTTACCCTCAGCGTTTTCCCAGAGCACCCTCGAGTTCAAAACAAAACCAGACCATTCGAGCTTCATCGGCAGCACTGTTCCCACATCGCCAACAATGGTGGCACTCCTATCAGCGTACGGTAAGGAATTGAAGGTATGCCAGCCGATCAAGTGACCAGAGGAGTTACAAGATGGACCCTGAATAGGCAACGGAGCATTCCGCTTCTCCTCCTCAGTTGGTTCTTTCTCAGGCATCGGCTTGGCATTCCCCGAATGTGCAAGAATTCCAACAGAGAGCGCCCCCATCCACTTCACCTTCTGGACCTCATCGAACAGCTCCATGCTGTGCATATTGCTATCATCAGCAAAAACCACAATTCCATCTAACATCCGCTCCTTCACCACCCTGTTTAATTACAAACCTTCATTAGATCTGCAAGTTAAAACCAAGAACTACATAACAGGTGTTACATCAGGACACAGAAGAGAGAAGATCAGGACCTGAGGGCATGGAGACGCATGCGGGCTTCCATCCGGTGGCGGTCGGCCCATCGAAGAGGCATTTTGTCCGGGAATGGGATATGGAGGAACGGAAGACGGGATCTTTCTAGTATGCCAGCGGTCTCGTTGGTATAACCACCGGCCTCGACTACGATCCAGGTGAGATCGTAAGGAAGAAGCATAAGGGAGTGTGTGACGCCGTTGAGATGAAGCGTCTGGAAGGTGCGGACGTAAGTCGGGGTAATAACAATTATGGCGCGGGGTTCCTTAACTCCGTACTGGAGCCTCTGCTCCCGCTGCACCCGCTCCATGATGTGATGCGCGCGCATAACCTCCGCCGGGTTGGGATGCGGCCACGGCCGGATCCGGATCCCGTGCCGGCCGACCACCACGCGGCTCCTGGTGCGGTTCGTCGCCAGAAGATCAGCGGCTGGGGCCGGCAAGGGAAGGGTTACTGTTTCTGTGTGGGTGGTGGTGGTGGTGGTGGTCGTCGTCCTCGTCGTTGTAGTGGTGGCGCTGAAGACGGGGGGATTGGTGTAGATATTTGCGGCCGTGGACGAAAAAATGATAAAAAAGACGAGACGGGAGAAGCGGAAGCCGAGGATGAGGCTGATGAGGCAGCAGAGAGCGTGAAGAATGAGCCAGAAAGCTCCAGCAGGGGAGCGAAGGGCGGCTTCCGCAACTCCGCTCCCGCCATCCTGCGGGTTGGAAGATGATCGAAGGCTGTTACTCCGGCGGGTGTTGTGGATCTGCTGCAGCAACGATGGCTTCATCTCTGCTGCTCCGTTTAGGAGAGGAAAGGGCTGTTGTTGGGATCGATAGGTTAAAAGGGGGGGAATGGTTAATGGGAGGGACCAGGAAAGGGAAAGGAAAAGTTGAGCGGTAGGTCGGAGGAGCGGGTGGGAGAGGGTGGAGTATGGTTTAAGAACGCGGAGATGGGAAAGTATTGGAGATATCTTATGTTCGAAGCGAGTCAAGGAGATGGAAGTTTCGTTTGGTGAGAGAGATGAAAATGGAGAAAAGCAGGGAAGCTGCAATAAGAGAAGGTGGAGGAGATCTTGAAGGAGGCGGAGGGCTGAGTATTGACTTGTGAAGGAAACTAAGGAGAGACTGATATGGCGAAGTTCTCGGTGGTGCTTAGGTTAGCCAGGAAGAAGGGGAGCGGTCGGGCCAGGACTGCTTGTCTTTCAGTGTCGAGCGAATTTCTCAAAATATTATTAGTGTGAAAATATTTTGAGCAAATTAAAAATTAATTTTGTGTTAGGGATTGCTCAAAATACCAGAGTTTATGATGAATTATCTTGTGGTAGCAATGCATGAGCTTCGTTAATTTATATGAATTGATGATATGGATTAGAATATGTAATTTCAACTAGTTGAATCAATATGATGTTGTACCCATAATTGTGTATTTTAGGATGATTGTGATGAATTTATTTGGACTAAATGAATTAGGGGTCAGCATTATTTGTTCAAAATATAACAACAAATTGAACTAAACTTGCTTTATTGATTTGGTTTGTATTCAAAAATGTTTTTTTTTCTTTTTTTTTTTTTGTTTTTAGAACCTCAATATTCTATTTTCGGTCATTTTATTTTATTTTATTTTTAAATCAAATAAAAAAAAATCAAAAATTTAAAATTAAATGAGTATCGTACATGTAAGATATATATATATATATATATATTTTTATTATTTTTTTTTCTCATAACCCAACTTTAACTAATAGAAAAGGGGGCATTTGGTTGAGTGAATTTGTGGTGTATTGTAATCTATTTGCAGGAATTTGATAAAATTATGTATTTGTTATTAAGATTTACAAATATAATATAAAGTTTGAGTGAATTTGAAGTTTGCATTGATCGTCTGCCGTCGTTGTCGGCCAGCTGATGCCATTCACAGTCTCCAACCGTCGACCGCAGCCACCCGACATCATCTGCTGGCCCCTACCGCTGTACTCGTCGTCTGCCTACTTGACTACCACAATCGGCCCCCAATGACGCTAGACAATAAGAAAATTTTGAAATACATTATTTTAAAACTAATACCAACCAAACAAAAAAAAAATCCTACATTAATTTTACAATGAACCAAACAACTCGAATGTAATTCAAATACATTGTAATCATATTAGTCTACAATTTTTTTACATTGCATTTCATTTTTAGCACACCAAATAGCCTTTAAATTTGGGTTTGTTCATAACCAAATCATCTAAACCAAATTTTATTTTGGTTTTATTTTATCAGCATTTTGATTAGTTTGTAATTTAAGATTTTGGTTGCAATTAATTTGACCTACATGAAAACTTATCCATCCAAACTGATGTATGTCGGAAGGTGTGCGATGATAGAATAATGAATCTATTCAAGACATCCAATTCTCGTGTTCAGTCAGTCATGTCCTGCTGATACACATTTTTTTAAGATCAGTACCAAAATTCTGATTCTCATACACAAAATATACTTTAAACCCACTCTCCAATCCTCAGCAAGATTCCTCACTTTCTGATTTTGATCAGACATACCCATTTGCTAAAATTCCCCAACGGAAACAAATAGCAAACACAATAATCACTTTTTGTTTTACAATCTGGATTTTATTGGCCTGCTATATTTAAAGATTTTAATTGTTATATAAAAACATGTGATTGATATCAGCGAGTAGGCAATATTTCAAAAAGAAATGAAATGCCCTGTTGACCTCACTTTTGGTTGAGGTCTAGAAATTTCTTTAGTAGCCTAGGTCTAGCTATAGGACTTTCCTACTGACTAGTCTTAGAAAACTAGAAAAGGTACCCTCACCATTAGAAACTCAAAACTCTTCTCTTTACTCAATTGAAGTTCCACATATTGGTCCTAACCTCTAGCACTTAGTAGGTAAGATCATTATGAGGGAACTCAAGGAGAGTTCCTATAGGGCTACTTGACCTTAGGATTGACCCTAGGTGTTGATTTGAAGCTAAGGTACACCATACTCTCACCATACTCTCACCATATTATAGCTAAAACCAATCCATAAGGACCCAAAATGGGGATTTCATTGATCCACGGTTCATTTAGAATGAATATTTATCCAATCCTATTTGAAATGCCTAACTTGGTCTTTTGCCCCTAGGCACCTCCAAATTACTTAATTGCCCTTGGGACCTAAATTTGGCCAAAATTCCTAAATATTGCCAAAATACCCAAAATTGATCAAAACACATTTCAAACACCTTGAATATATCCAAACTTGCCAAAACTGACAAAAATTTCCAAAAATGACCAAATTACCAAAATACCCCTCCATGACGCAAAATCCAAAAATTCCAAAAAATTCCTAAAAAATCTCAATAAATCCAAAATATTCCCAATTTCATTATGTCCAACTACACCATGGTACAATTTGGTCAATTTGACCATCTTTGACAAAATCCCCAAA